CACACTAGAAGGTGAAGGGACGACGACGTTTCGGTCCGTCCTGGACCATTCTCAAGTCGATTGAGAACACCATACGAATTCACAATCGACTTGAGAATGGTCCAGGACGGACCGAAACGTCGTCGTCCCTTCACCTTCTAGTGTGTGGTCTGGTCAACAGCCTCTTGGTCTTGGTTGTAGGAGTTTCGGGTGGTTCGTTGTCGTCTTTGGATGGTGTAGGTACCATAGATGCTTCTTTCATCACAACTCGGTTTTCAGCTGGGTTGTGATGTGAATGTGTGTGTGCGCTGGGTCCGCGGTGGGTGAGGGGGTGGTGTGTGGCCTAGGGATCTTCGGTATGGTGTTAACACTGTATTGCGAGAAGTGTTAATGATTGACGAGGTTAGTACTGAAGTGAAGATTGGTGTAATTGGCGATATACGGTTGTTAATTATTGTATTGTGAGAGGCAGGGCGTTCATGACAGCATTTTAAAGCCTACATAAATTATATAATTTTAATATAATTGAATGCCAGCCGGGGGGGGGGGGCGAGTAATTATCCACACTGCCCGAAGATCTCTCAACAATATGGCGGCAGCGGCACCAATTGGCCATTGTGCCCATATGTTGTGTCAATTAAGATGGCACTGATGATAGGCATTTACAATCAAAATACGAATTCAAACAGCAATATATAAATAAAGTTCTTGTAAGGTGATGTAATAGTTGTACATTGATATCACACCGAATTATTCAGACCTTTGAGGTACCCAACAGTAGAAAATAGTAGTAGAAACAATAGTAGAAAATATATGTTTTATATCAATTAATTACAATTTAAAGTCTAATATTTTAAAGAAAGTCACTGGGTAAATTTGAAGAAAAAATCAATGTAATTTACATAATTTATTACAACAATTACAAAAAAAACACCAATAAGAATATCTGTAGAAGCAATGAGGAAGATCTAAACCATACTCAGGGTAATCCCAAGAAAACTTTGACAATCACACCAGATTTTCTAATTAATCTCGGATTTCTGTGTATCTCCGTAGCCAGAGAAGAAAAGTTAAATCAGTCAGCCCTAGAAACGATTAGTTCGAGTGCTGACTTTTCTTCAAAACTTTGGTAGGCTTTCTTAACATTTTCAGTAATCATTTCGAAATGTTCTCTTAAAAGCCTGTTGCTTCGTTCAGCTTTTGTTCCCATGGCCACAGAAAGGGGAAGTGTCTTTAGTCTTAGAATACACGCCAGGTTAGCGAAGCCTGGCTGCCATTTTTTATTGACAATACTGTCGGGTAATTCTCTGGCGTCGCTCACCTCAGCGCCGACATTACCTCCTTCCTGATCGATCTCGTTGACCGGGTTCACCTCATAGTCTATGTAATTTAGGTTCAAAAAATCAATCCAAATGCGAAACAAGAAGAGACTATTGGGTACCTCAAAGGTCTGATGAGTTGGGGTTGCTGCCAGCAGCATAAGCAGCAGCACCACACTCATCATGGTGGTAGATAACGGGCTCCTGGTTGATAGGGCTAATGGGGTAGATTGTCCTCGATGGCCGCTCTTCCGAACCTCAACTGTGAATGCGTCCAGTAGATTGTCTTTAGGCTGTGATTGCGTCCAGTAGATTGTCTTTAGGCTGTGATTGCGTCCAGTAGATTGTCTTTAGGCTGTGATTGCGTCCAGTAGATTTCGTGGCAGCGTTATCTGTTTGTTTTAGCTTTAGCTACTCGGAACGAGATGTCCATGTAGCTTTTGTGAGCCCGTAAGTGTGGGTTGTCTGACGCAGTCCGTTGTTATATTGTGGAAGATAAGTGAGGCGCATTTGGAGGTGATGTGTGCTGGTAGGCACAGGTGGAGGAGAGGAACAGAAGCTAAGAGAAGAGATATAATCAAATAATAATTTTTAATTTATATGCATGAAGGTAACAAATTAAAGCAGCGTCTGGGATGCTCCCGGACGCAGGTTCGAATCCTCATCACGACCATTGTGGATTTGTTCATAGAAATAATGACATATAGTTACATAATAAGATAACATAAAGTGGAATTGGCCCAAAAGCTGTTAATTACTGTTTCCGAAACACAACCACTCAGATTTTGTCTAATTCAAAGATTTTGGAAATGTAAACTTACCCAAACTGTGTTTTTATGTTCTTATTGTCATAAGTTCATTTGAATTATATAATAAGCAAACCACAACACAAGATAGAACACGAAACAATGGGAATAAATTGGATAAGTTTAGATTTAAGAACATAAGAACATAAGAACAAAGGTAACTGCAGAAGGCCTATTGGCCCATACGAGGCAGCTCCTATTTATAACCACCCAATCCCACTCATATACATGTCCAACCCGCGCTTGAAACAATCGAGGGACCCCACCTCCACCACGTTACGCGGTAATTGGTTCCACAAATCAACAACCCTGTTACTGAACCAGTATTTACCCAAGTCTTTCCTAAATCCAAACTTATCCAATTTATACCCATTGTTTCGTGTTCTGTCTTGTGTTGATACTTTTAATACCCTATTAATATCCCCTTTGTTATGTCCATTCATCCACTTGTAAACTTCTATCATGTCACGGGAAATAAGAAATAAGACAAATGCAGATGGCGTCTGCACTTTCATTTAGACACACACCAATATGGCTGCGAACCCAGCAAAACTACGATCATAAATTTGCTAGAGATTACTGTCTAACACATGATGCCTTGCCTTATATAAATGTATTGCTGTTACATTTACTTTTGTTATGCATACTTCACTCATTCCTACCCGAGGGCCACTATCCCGTGTGGCCTCGTCGATGACAGGAAGCCAGCATCTTGTCAAAGGCCCCCCCCCCCACACACATTTACCTAGATGATTATTTCCAGGTATATTTTAGAATTCAATCGTTTTGACAGTTACAGCTTCAGCGGGTAGGTTGTTCCATGGGTTAATAATCCTGTGGGTGAAAAAGCATCTCCAGTTTCAAGACCTACAGTGTGGCTTGTTGAGCTAGAAACCGTTGCTCCTTGTTTGTGTTACATCTCCATTACATCACCAGTCTCCGTGGTGTAGTGGTAAGACACTCGCCTGGCGTTCCGCGAGCGCTTTGTCATGGGTTCGTATCCTGGCCGGGGAGGATTTACTGGGCACAAATCCTTAATTGTAGCCTCTGTTTAACTCAACAGTAAAATGTGCACTTGGTTGTAAAAGTAATTCTTCGTGGGGGTCGTATTCTCCAGGGACCATAGGATTAAGGACTTGCCCGAAACGCTATACGCGTACTAGTGGCTGTACAAGAATGTAACAACTCTTGTATATCGTATTTAAAATAAAAAGAAAGAATCTGACCTGAAGAAAATATCCGATGATATTTATCCACTATCCAAAAATATATATTCACCAAGTATATTAATGAAGGGTGAATAAAATCACACTTAAAATTGTATTTTATAACTCATAAACAGTGCAAATACAACTTACTTTCACTTTGCTGTTAAGTGAACAGAGGCATCAAGTGAAAATAAACATACCCAAATATTTTGCCCTGCCTGAGAATCAAATGAGTCCAGTCTGTTGAGCCGACTGCAGAACAAACTACCTGTCACTATATAAAATATCACTCGTGGCTCAATTGCTTCCTGACAGACATGACTAAGAATCTTCCTCAGACATTTTAACTGCCAATTAGTATTAAAAAGTTGATAACAATTAATTAAGTTCATTTATTATATACACCCACACCCCATACCCATCTTGTGAGCAGTAGTGGAAAGGGTTACAGAGGCACATGATGGGCTCAGGGACTGAACCCCACAATTCATTTAGCTAAGCAAGTTACAATCTTGATGAGCTAGTTACAAAATTCAGTATAAGTCGTCACATCATATATGGGTTCGAGATCGACCACAAGTACAGTTTCTAAGTTAAGCAACTGACATATGTGGAGAGCTAGTGTCACAATTGATATGTTTGTCCTGCACGCCGCCCCCCATCCAGTGGGCAGCGGTGGATAGGTTACAATCACTTAGTTACTACCTACAGTTAGCAAACTGGGGGATATTTGGCTAAAATTTCTGGTAGCAGATCATTTTGAATGAAATATTTACACATTGCTAACAATGACATGGAATAATACACTTATATTCCTCAGACATTTTAACAACCAATTACTATTAAAAAGTTGATAACACTGACATGGAATAATACATTTATGTGTGTAAATAAATAGAATGGTTTCCAACGGAATATAAGAATACATTATATATGAAACTGCTGAAGGTCTGTTGGTCCATGCAAGGAAGCAGCTCCTTGTATCCACCCAAACTCACTCATAAATGTTTAATCTTGTAACAATCCAGCCTTCCAGCATGTATGTAATTTGTTCAGTAAATCAACGTCGCATTTAGCTTCTCACTTAGAAATGTTTAGACCATTATACCTTTTTATGCATTTCTATTTACCTGAATTACTGGTTGAAATGCTATGCATATTACTTGCTTCATGTGCACCTTCTGTCACTACAATTATCCTTTTATCAATTTTTTTTATAAGCACATTCTTATGAATAAAGTACATTATTATCATTATTACTATAATATAATTAGTTATATACTATAACCCTATACTGTATAAGGACATGACAAAGTGCTGATGGCTACACTGCTATAGTAGTACTGTACTCTCGTATATATGCGAACAAGCCTGAATGGTCCCCAGGACTATATGCGAATGAAATATATATATATATATATATTTCATTCTATATCTCGTATATATATATATATATATATATATATATATATATATATATATATATATATATATATATATATATATATATATATATATATATATATATATATATATATATATATATATATATATATATATATATATATATATATATATATATATATATATATATATATATATATATATATATATATATATATATATATATATATATATATATATATATATATATATATATATATATATATATATATATATATATATATATATATATATATATATAATATAATAATAATCTCAAGGACAAAGCTACCCATGTTATGCTCAAAACAAACCCCTATGTTGAGCGCCATCCATCTCGTATGCCACAGCATTATCGCTTCTCAATCTGTGTGATCCCCCTCCAATTCGAGAGCCACAATCAGGACACTGGCCTTCTTCCATGGCACGCCCACACTCAGTGATGCAGTAGATGTGTCCATTAGGACATTTATACCAGTGCCCTTGCCTGAAGCCCATAGCTTGCAAAATCATAATCTTTTCACTTTGGCTGATTCCCAAGACACCAACATGCTTCTCACTCTCTTTCAGCAGAGCTTGGACTTTTATGTCCCGTTCTGAATCAAATTTTATTGTAGGATCCATAAACTTCTCCAACTTTGCTTTGATTTCCATGAGACTGTCATTGCTGTTAGTGGTGAATTTTTCTTGTAATGTCCAATAAGCAGGAAGAATCATAAGACGCTGCATTTCGCAGCTTACCTCATCAATCATCTGAGGAGCAATAATTGAGCTTTGTTGCATAACAAGTTCAACTATAGCTTCCATCATGGGCCCCAGACGACTTTCGTGCTTAGGCAGGTGCTTAGGTGCTTTCGTACTTTGGTTTTCTTGACTTCTGTGATCAATCGAATGAAGAAAATCCCGAAGTTTGGTCCTCTTCCTTAGTTCTGGAGACGTACGAGCAATTAAGTCTCTTTCTTTTGGCAAAGACTTTAGAATTCCAGCAGCTTTCTTAAGAACCTGAGCTTGAAATTGGATAAGCCTCAGCTCTCCATCATTAAGAAATGTTTTCTTGTGTTTCTTGGTTTTTGGACCTAGGCCAAGTTTCTTGTACAGCTCTGTGACCTCACTAATATACTTATCAGCAATTTCAGGATCTGTGGATACAAAAATTTATAATATATAATGTATGAATGTATGTATGAGTTGCCACTATCATTCATAATGTATTAGATATATAATGCTATGCAGAAAAGACAGTTAATCTCTCAGACCCCTAGGAACACTGTCAAGAGATTAAATGGCTTTTACGCGAATTCCATAAGCTAGAAAATAAATGTGACAGTGTGTGCATATACAAAGGTTGAGAATTGAAGCATTATTAGGATTAGCAAAACATGGGGACAAAAGGAGAGAATTGAAGGAGAATTCCATTTTCCAGGGTTTCACTCACTTCTCAGAAAAAACAGAACAAGGGGCCAGATTCACGAAGCAGTTACGCAAGTACTTAGCAACATGTACATCTTTCCTCAATCTTTGACGGCTTTGATTACATTTATTAAACAGTTTATATGCATGAAAACTTCCCCAATTAACTACTATTATTGTTATAAACAGCCTCCTAGTGCTTCGGAGCTCATTAACTGTTTAATAATTGTAAACAAAGCCGCCAAAGATTGAGAAAAGATATACAGATTCGTAAGTGCTTGCGTTACTGCTTCTTGAATCTGGTCCAAGAAGAGTATCTGTAATGCTGCATATAAAACGGAACCCGACTGCAACAATCGATAAGAAATTAAATATGGGATGCTCAGAATCCCTATGGTGTGATATAATAGCTCAAAGTGGTAGCAAATTGATAGTGAGAGTAAGTTACAGTGCAGACACAGCCATGATTGAGGACGTTATTGAGATGCATCACGTAGTTACGGCAGCAGCTGAAGCACAAACTCTTATAATGGGAAATTTTAACCACAGGATGATAACCTGGATTAATACAACTTAAACAACAGGAGTAGCGGTGAATTCATACAGGACTTCTTTCTCATGCAGCAAGTGACAGAGCCTGCCTGTGATAACAGCATTCTAGATCCTTTGCTATCAACTGAAAAGGGCTTGATTGAGGAAATCCAGGTAGGAAAGAAGCTCACCTTACATATGACTGCTCAACCTGTCCTCTTAAAAAGAATGTTGCTTTTGGCCGTTTGCCCGTATGGCTGAATTTGGACGTAATTTGAAAATGACAAAATGAAAATAAATTCGGGATTTTTTTTTTTCAACAACAGTAAGTTAAGGGTTCTCTGATAGGTTAGGTGGGCAGGCAATTCTCATAAAGTTTCCAAACGTTATGAAAAACGTTAATTTAAAGTGTCCTCTTATAACCTCTGCGCGTACGCCGGACGACTCAAATAGAAAACGGAACAGAACGTCACTTTTGTGAGTCGATTTCATTTCAAATTACGTCCAAATTTGGCCATAGCGCGCATACAAGCCAAAAGTGACGTTATTTTTAAGAGGACGGGTTGGACTGCTACATTCTGATTGAGGAAATCCAGGTAGGAAAGAAGCTCGACTTACATATGACTGCTACATTCTAAGATGGAACAATGTTCTAGTAACCCATATATTGTTCTAGGACTCTGACTTTGACTACCTTTGAGGAGACTATGAAAGAATCAGAGAAGAGTTGCAAAATACCCCATGGAGGGAGTTAAGGAAAAGAAGGTAGTGATTCAATTGTATAAATCTCTAATGCAATTACAGTCTCACTTTTTTGGATTACCTAACCAGTTATAAGTAATAATTGTAATTACGAAGCAATAAGATGCTTATCTTAAGATACTAACAAGGTTAGGTAAGGTCGGTGTTTTCTATGAATCTTTTTAAGGGTATCTATTATGTTTAGTATATCACCTATGCACGTAGTTAATAAGTCAATATTGACTTTACGAATTTGCGAGAACGGGTTGCGTATCCATGCATGAAGACCTCATCTTCAGGACATAACTGCTCTAGAGAAAGTGCAACACCGGGCAACAAAAAAATTAATTCCAGAGACACGTTAATTCACGTATCAGGAATGGTTGAGGGCCACAGGGCTAACAACACTGTAAACCAGGCATGACAGGGTTGATTTCATTGAAAATTTTAAAATACTGTACTGAACAATTTGGAGGTGTTGAGCCGGACAATTTCTTCATAAAGGTCAGATATAACACAAACAAGGAGGTTTGTGTTACAAGGTTTCAAGCTTAACAAGCCACAATGTAGGACTTAAAACAGGCGATGCTTTTTCATCCATAGGTTTTTAAACCCATGGAACAGCCAATCTGCCAAAACTGTAAATGCCAAAACTCTGCTAAATTTTAAACCCAACTGGAAAAGATCATCAGAGCAAATGGGGGGAGGACCTTCGACAAGCCACTGACTTCATGTCCTTGTCGAGGCCACTGGTGTTAGTGGCCCTTGGGTAAATTCTGGTAAATAAAATTTGTTCCATTCTTGACATTTTTACAACACACACACACACACACACATACGGGCTATTCGTGCCTGTGCCACCTTTTGGGTGGCTTAATCTTCATCAATCAGTCAATCATATCCTGGCTTCCTATCCCCGGACACAATGAATTTAAGAGATATTAAAAAAAATTTCAAGGAATTCTTACCCTGCAAGATCAATTCAATATCCTTCTTCTTTATTTTGGTTTGAGTCTTAAAATATTTGCACTTGACAGCTTTCACAGCTTCATATGTCTCGAGAATTATATTCTGATAGCGGCGATTGTTGTAGATGGGCTTTCGACACTTTGGGCACGTTTTCATGCCTATTTCAGCACTGTCTTGGCCCAGCCAGCCCTCCAAGCCCTGTACTTCAATAGTGTGACCACAGTCTTCTAGCAGAACAAATCTGAAAATTAATTTTTTTTTAAGGAATATTAAGAACCAAAAGTAAATTACCAATTCAGAACGAAAGCAATTATACTTGCTTCGTCTGGGTAATTTATCTAGTCAGGGGGGATGGATTATTTGTTTGACACTTGATTAATTTGCTCTACAAGCTAAAAATCAACTGTAGGTTTTTCTATGGTAACAGAAACTTTTGACATTGACTTACACTGAGAAGTGTGTAGTAAAACTAAATAATAGACCATTATGAACTACTCCACTAAGAACACCTTTCAAAGATGATGCAATACTCTCAAAGGAAAAATACATTATTTAATCATATATAACTGTTTAATTAAACACGCTTGAATACCACGCCATTGTACACACCATGATTTGCAAGTCTATAAAAGGAACTACTGAATAGATACTTCTTTCCTACCTTGCATCGTGTTCTTCTTCGTAGCCCAGTAACATAAACTCCGTAAGCTCGTCCACGTGACAAACCCGACACAGCGGAGGACAGGGATCACCGCAGAAGCCAATGCACGGATGACCGCACTCTAGCTTCTTAGGGCAAGCCTGATTACATGGTTTTCTTGAGCACTTGTCGCCACAAAGTTTATTACACTTCAGGTGCTTGCACTCCCATTCACAATTCATCTGGGAAGTCAAAATTCCATAGATTAAAAAAAAGAAGTGACCCTTGACATTGAACTAACAAAACCCATGTAGTAAAAGCAGGATATCTAACACTACCTTATTCCTCAAGTTTGAGTAGTAATTTCACTCGTATATATTTTACCCAACCATCTCCAATGGTTGATTGTTTAATAAATCAATGAATAAATAAATAACAAGAGATCACAGATCTCTAACTCTGTCCATGAAGAACAGAAGAAAATGTATATACCCTGTACTATATGCTGGTTTGCATTGTAAATGTATGGCCAAGTCTGTGGTAGAAAAATAAAAAAAAAACACCAGAGGCCTAGATTGGGACAAGGTGGTTTATTCATCATTCCCGCAGGTATTTTTCTGCTGAAACATGAATTGGAGTAATGTAATGGAATTTACAGCTTCTGAGAGTTGGCGCTTCCAAGGGCTTATTACACTATGAGTGCTAAAGCATCTCCTGTTTTTTTATTCTGCATTGTGACTTGTTAAGCTTAAGTCATGTATGAGGTTATTAAAAAAAAATATGACCAAACCACACACCAGAAGATGAGGAGACGAAGACGAGGAGACGTCTCCTCCTCTTCTTGTGTGTGGTTTGGTCACCATATCTTCAGTCACGTTATTGTAACTCATCATTTGCAATAATTAATAATAATTAAGGCATATCTCACCTTACACAGCTCACAAGGCATGCCACATTTTTTACGACAACAGCTGTGTTGACAGCGCCACTGACATGGCTCTTGGCATGGCGGGCATTCAGCACTGCATGGATGCTTGCATCTGGAATAACAAACAGATGTTGAATCTGACTGAAGAAATGTGGAAGGTCATTCCTCATTCCCTTGTAAAAGTTGGGTACAAGGGTCCATTTTGGGCCAAATCTTTTTTGTCATAAACATCAATGATATAGATTGATTGATTGGTGCATCAATGATTGGTGCTAATCTTGCCAGTAAAATCCCACAGACTCAGACACATATTAACACATATCTCTCAGGCAGCTATCCAAACTCTCTTCTCCTTTCACCAATCAGCCCGGCAGATGTTGTGTCCATCATACACTCTCTAAAAACCAAGGCAGGGAACACCAGTGAAATTCCGTCCATTGTGTACAAGAGAGCCTCCCATGCCCTTGCCCCACCCATAGCACTACTGTTCAACAAATCTATAGAGTGTCACACCTTCCCTGATATCCTCAAAAAAGCAAGAGTAACGCCAGTCCATAAAGGAGGCAATCCGGCGGACATAAACAATTATAGACCAATATCAAATCTACCCATTCTATCAAAAATATTTGAAAAAATTATTTACAAACAGCTCTATTCCTACCTCGTAAAATTCGACATACTCAGCCCCTGCCAGTTTGGCTTCCGGTCCCAAAAGAGTACCAATGATGCAATCATTAGTCTCCTTGACATTATCTACTCAGCCCTTGACAAAAATGAGTTTCCGATTGGACTCTTCATTGACCTAAGAAAAGCCTTTGATACTGTTAATCACAACTACCTCTTACTTAAACTCCAGCATTATGGAATCCGAGGCCTTGCCCTTGACTACATCCGATCCTATCTTAGTGACAGACACCAATATGTAACCATCAATGATACAACTTCTTCCACTCTACCAATTACCGTTGGAGTGCCACAGGGCATAAACGATCTGCCTAATGTCTATAATATTCTCAAACCTATATTGTTTGCTGACGATACTACTCTTATCTATTCAAACCTCAACCCACATACACTAAATAATGTTGTGAATAATGAATTAAAAAAGTCCACTTATGGATGTCAACGAACAAACTAACATTAAACATCGAAAAGACTTACTACATCTTATTTGGAAGCAAATCATCAAATGCAATTCAGCTACAGATAGACAACATTAACATCAGTAATAAAAATGATGGCAAGTTTCTTGGCCTATTCCTAGACAAGAGACTCAACTTCAGCACCCACATTCAACACATAACTAAGAAAGTCTCTAAGACAGTTGGTATACTCTCCAAAATCAGATATTATGTTCCTAACTCTGCTCTCCTCTCACTATATTATGCACTAATCTACCCCTATCTTAATTATGGTATCTGTACATGGGGGTCTACCACTGCAAACCACCTTAAGCCCATCATCACACAGCAAAAATCTGCTATCAGAATAATAACTAACTCTGCTTTCAGACAACACTCAGCTCCCTTGTTTAAATCTCTAAACTTGCTAAATATTAACTCCCTCCACACATTCTCTTGTGTCAACTACATTTACAAAACCCTGTTCTTAAATGCAAACCATGCTCTGAAAGTCTCCCTGGACAGATGTAATAGGACCCATTATCACCACACCAGAAATAAATATCTCTTTGATATCCCCAGGGTCAAACTTAATCTGTGTAAACACTCTATGCAAATTAAGGGACCTAGTCTATGGAACTCACTCCCTAGTGAATTGAAAAACTGTAAAACTTTTGCCTTATTTAAAAGCAAAACCAAAAAGTACCTAACTTCATCTATTTAGTTTCCTACACTGAGCTTTAAATTTGCTCTGTACCTAGTGGTACCCAATCTCCTAATTTTTATGTAATATCAAACAACCTTATCATTGTGTTCATTGCTGTCTTCTTTTATGTGCTAGCCATATGCTGTATTGTGACTTCCAATTTTTATCAACTACCATTCAAGCTGTTATTGCAATCAATCTTATATTGTTTCTGCTGTATTGTGCCTACCAATTTGTTGTCAACTACCATTTTAAGCTGTCATTGCAATCAATCATAGCTACCTATGTGCTTTAATATACTGTACCTATAATTTTCTCTCATCTTTTTTTTTTTCATTCCATGTAATCTGTTATCATTTTTTTGTCTATAAATTTTGCAAGCATTTACCTCCTTAAAATTTTCATAGATTAAGGACCTGCCCGAAACGCTGCGCGTGCTAGTGGCTTTACAAGACTGTAATTACCATAATTGTATCCTCACATTCCTTATGTACATTCTTGTATATGCATAAATAAATAAATAAATAAATAGATGAGATTACAAACCACATCATCAAATTTGCAGATGACACTTAAGACTTATGGCCATGTGGGAAGTAAAAATTATATCGAGGCCTTACAAAGAGAACTACATGAACTCCACAAATGGTCAGAAAACTGGAAAATGCTTTTTCATATTGATGAAGGAAAAAACCTTGCATGTGAGGTATGCCAATCTGTGTTACAGCTACCAAATTAACAACATGACTTCGCAGCAGATTGATGAAGAAAAGGATCTTGGAGTCGGAATCCATTATCCACTGAAAGTTGTACAAGTAAGAGCAGTAAAAAAAACTAACAAAATCCTAGGAGTAATCAAGCATACCTTTGAATTTAACAAAAATAGGTTATACCCGGTAGTCATTCAATTGCATAAATCTCTGGGGTGCTCTCATTTGGATCCAGGCATTGAGACCTATCTTCAGAAAGACTTCACTGGAGAAATTTCATTACCAGGCAACTTAAATAATTCCAGAACTAAATCAACTCTCATACCAGGACAGGTTGAGAGCCACAGGACTAACACTGGAAACCAAACATGATGGGGCAGACAATAAAATAATCTTGAAAATGCTTACATGTGTCCACACACGAGAGGTTTCTTGCAGGGTTGTTGACAGGAGACGTGAACACGTCCTTGGAAGCAGCGGCCGCAGTCGCCCATGCAGTTATGCTCACATTTCAGAAGCTGATTGCATGGCTCTTTACAGTATACCCATGCTGCCTCTCCCTTCACTGAAAGTGGAAAAATATATTATGAAATGAAGATTGGAAAGCTGTAGAGAAATATTTCCCTTTGTCAGGGACATGAAGCCTGTACTGATCAAGGTTGACCAAAGCCAGTTACTGATTTTCTTCAACATGTACAACCCAACAACAGTTATCTAATTCCCTGATCTGACCTGCCTGGTCTAGAAGCCTGACAGCTGAGTGGACAGTGCTTCGGATTCATAGTCGTGAGGTTCTGGGTTCAATCCCCGGTGGAGGCAGAAACAAATGGGCAGTTTTTCACATTGATGCCCCCTGTTACCTACCGGTAAATAGGTACCTGTGAGTTAGATAGTTGCTACGGGCTGTTTCCTGGGGGATGTGTAACAAAAGGAAGGCCTGGTTGAGGACCTGGTCGAGGACCGGGCCGCAGGGACGCTAAGCCCTGAAATCATCTCCAGATAACCTCAAGAAGGAGTAGAACCTCCCAGGTACCTATTTTACTGCTAACAGAGGTAACAGATGAGAGCAACTCTTCATATCTGCCGTAACACCTGTCTTGCCACAGGCATTAAACCCGAGACTTTTTGGTTGTCCCCGACTGCCTTTCTTGAATTAACTTCAAACTCTTTTTCACTGTGATGTTGAACATGTACCCAAATTAAGATATTACATCATCCACTGATAATGTTGCTCGACCATATGGTATTGCATATTTATCTTTCAATTATTACGTCATTTGCATTTACATAGAAATAATCTGGTCCACTAGCCATGTAAGTGAGTACTTGCAGGACGGGCTGTTACCTAGCAGTAAATAGGTACCTGGGAGTTAGTCAGCTGTCACGGGCTGCTTCCTGGGGGTGGAGGCCTGGTCGAGGACCGGGCCGCGGGGACACTAAAAAGCCCCGAAATCATCTCAAGATAACCTCAAGATAATGTACCTGAAGGCCTCAGGTACATTAGGCTAAACATTAGAGGTAGAATTGTACCTGAGGTACACCCCTACCAATACCTCTAGATGCCTTAATGGGGACAAACCTCCCCCCCCTCCCTCTTCCAAAAATACTGAACTTTTGTGCAGACGAGGAGTCACAATAACATGGCTGAAATATGTTGACAAAACCACACACTAGAAAGTGAAGGGACAACGACGTTTCGGTCCGTCCTGGACCATTCACATTCGACTTGAATGGTCCAGGACGGACCGAAACGTCGTCGTCCCTTTACTTTCTAGCGTGTGGTTTAGTCACCTGAACTTTTGTATTTATAATATGTTTTCATACTTCAGATTAACGAACACCAAAGGATACTCTCCCATGTAATATTTAATGAGCACGTACCTTCCTCAATCAAATGACAAGGTAACTTGACAATATGTCCATTTGGGCACCTGGTGGTCGAAGGAACTAACTCAATGCACTTAACAATACATGGATCCATACAGCGCTTTGTACAAAAATGGCCACATGGTAACTTCCTCGGGCATTTTCCTTCACACTTGCTGGCTGTTGCTGGTAGTCCACATTCAATCTAAAAAAATACAAATATAAAATGTCTAAAAGTTCTCCCTAAAAAGTTTATATATATATGCTACTATAGAATTAATCATTTACTTAGATTGGTCCATTTTATTTTGCTGCAACATAATATATTAAACTTCCACTACAACTAAGGTCAGCGGACAGCACGCTGGACTTGTGATCCTGTGGTCCCGGGTTCGATCCCGGGCGCCGGCGAGAAACAATGGGCTGAGTTTCTTTCACCCTATGCCCCTGTTACCTAGCAGTAAAATAGGTACCTGGGTGTTAGTCAGCTGTCACGGGCTGCTTCCTGGGGGTGGAGGCCTGGTCGAGGACCGGGCCGCGGGGACACTAAAGCCCCGAAATCATCTCAAGATAACCTCAAGAAGGTTGATCACTTGAGCAGGACGGTAAAGCGATGCGATGGTCTTGCTTCCTGCAGGTCTGCGTTCAATGCATGACCGTCCAAATGGTTGGATGCCATTCCTTTCCTCCATCCTATCCCAAATCCTTATCCTCATCTCTCTCCCAAATGCTATATAGTTGTAATGGCTTAGTGCGCTCTCCTGATAACTGCCTTTTATTTATTTTATGACCTGATACTGTAATGATGGCGTGTATGAGGTACTACCACAAAATCTGAATAAATCCTACAGGAAAAAAATATGTACAATAGATAAAATAAATACACTCTTTTTAAATGTATCATGCAAAATTTAATATGGGCTAAGCTGCCTGATGCACTTGCATGCTACTTGTAGAACTACTGGGCAACTAGCATGGCAAAACTCCAGTAACTATGATACGATATGACCCAAACCATTGCCACGTGTATCTTTTTATTTGGCAAGATATCTGTGATATCTTCATTGGGGGTTTTATGAAAAGATCTATTAGTACACAACAAAAAATGCTTTAGCTATGAAATACTGTGGGTAAAAATGGGAACAAATATTGTATTCCTAGCAAGACAAACACCCTCTCTGCTTTTAACACTTTACAAATCTTACAACATTTTTGTTTATATATACTGGTACATTAGGCTAAACATTAGAGGTAGAGGTGTACCTGAGGTACACCTCTACCAATACCTCTAGATGCCTTAATGGGGACAAACCCCCCCCCCCCCCCTCTTCCAAAAATACTGAACTTTTGTGCAGACGAGGAGTCACAATAACATAGCTGAAATATGTTGACGAAACCACACACTAGAAAGTGAAGGGACAACGACGTTTCGTTGTATACAGTATACAGAAAACTACCTATATATATATAATATAATGTATGTTATACAGTATAATAAAACTGAAAGAATGGGCTTACCATAGCAGTGTGATTGCAGTCTGGGACAGTTTTCGTAACTTTCACCGTACAGTCCCCGCAGGTTTGGAAACACAGCTTCTTACACGGGTGACCACAGCGAAGTACTTTTTGGCAGTTTTTACGGCATTTAATATCTTCGACGAGTTCCGAGCATTCGACTTGCTTTGCCTCATGTCCGCATGGTAGTGTCTTGTCTAATTTGACTATGCAGGCTCCACATTCTTGATAACACATTTTCTTGCAGGGGTGGTTTTGTGAACAACCTGCGTTCAGTTTTGTGCACATTTCTAAGCAGTCGTAATTCAAGTGATCCGGATCCTTATGACGGTGACAATTCTGATGACATTTATGACCACAATCCAGTCTAGTATCACAGTTCATGGTACAACGAAAATTTCTTGGATTGCAATGGCAAGGCATTTTAACATCATGTTGGCATAGCGGTATTGTTTTAATGACTTCAGTTGGACACCTGTGTTGGTTTGGGTTAACATGGCAAGGAATGGAATGACTATGGCCACAAGGCAACAACTTCGTGACTGGAACCTCACATGGTGTACATTTTTCCCAACATTTCTTCGGGCATGGATGGTCCAACTCGCACAGAGTTTTAGGACAAGGCACTTGGCATTTATAGTCTATATGATCCTCATCATACACATGACAAATCTTGGAACAGGAATGCTTACAAAATAGAAGAGAACTGCCACATACTTGTTGACATCCTCCTTCTGGACTTTTATTGAAGAAGTCATCACCAGATGAAACTGGAGTCAATTTATCAGGATGATTTTTACACTTGAGAATTAGGGTATTGCCAATGGATTCTTCCTTTGTAAGATCTTCTCTAATCTTCTTCCAAAGCTCACTGGAAGCACTCAGGAGATCCATATTTCCTGTGACATATAACCCGTGCTTGGCACGCGAGAGGGCAACACACACTCGGTTATCAGTACGAAGGAAACCCACAATGCCTTCAACATTGCTCCTCACTAATGACAACAGAATAATGTTGTTCTCTTCTCCTTGAAAGTTGTCCACGACACAAATCTTCACACCTCTGCAGTGCACATGATCATCCTGAAGCTGTCAATTAATACATAACTATTTTAGTATGTAGTATTTGGTATTTAGTAGTTTAGTATTCTATCAACTTGGCTGAATCAATTTACATACAGTAATTGAATGTGTGTATATCACAAAAATAAACACGTGATTAAAAATGTGACAATGTCAGACCACGGAGGAAAAATGAAACAGGAATTTCCTTAAGTACTTTCGTATATTAATATATCTTCAGGAGGAGTCCATGACTCCTTTGAATTTATAATTTTTCTCCTTTTATAATTTTGACTCCTTTGACTCCTTCTGAAGATGTATTAATATACGAAAGTACTTAAGGAAATTCCTGTTTCATTTTTCCTCCGTGGTCTGACATTGTCACAGTAATTGAATGTAAGGGCGATCAAATTTAAAGGAATGATCTGAAACTTAATAATTTTGAACACGTATGAAACCTTAACTATGTTTCTATCACATCAATATGAAAATAAGTGCCACAGATGGTTTCTAAAATATTTCATTAAAGTAACAAAAATATATGATTAGTGATATAATTATCCATTTCATATTTGGTTTTAACAATACCGCGCATGAAATCCTCACTTTCATTTATTTATTTATTTATTTATTTATGCATATACAAGAAGGTACATTGGGAATGTGAGGATACATAATATGGTAATTACAGTCTTGTAAAGCCACTAGTACGCACAACGTTTCGGGCAGGTCCTTAATCTTATGTACCTGAAACTGATCGTGTAGGCCTACTACTGTTCCATATAGATGGTGCACAAGTTTAGGATACATAATAAAGGGGCTAGTAGCCATTGCAAAAGATCAACTGAACTATGAGACATGAAAAATCAAAAGAATTTCAAAGATGTTAAGCGAGATCATCAATGACACGTACATTTAAATTATATAATTTCCATCAGCTGGAAAAGATACAAGGTACAATGGTAAATTTAGTAAAAGAAAGTTAAATAATGATTGACCTAACAATCGATGCTGGTAAACAACGGATTTAGTTTTAGTTCAGTTCACTGATTATGCACCCTACACCCATCCTGCGAGTGTTAATGGAAAATGTCACGGAGGGACATAATGGAGCTCAGGCACTCAAACCCCAACATTAATTTGGATACGTTCATCTTGATAAGCTGTTGAGAAGGATAAAGCTTTGAGCAAATACCCATCCACTCAAATGGGGGGTATTTGCAGGTCGGTGTTAGATCCCAATAGTTTTAAAGTCTTAGTTTTAAGTTTTGTTCCTCACATCTTGCACAAAACACTATGCGTATTCGTGGCTTTAGGCATAGTATATACTAGCACTAGATAGAAATACAACATTCTGCTTGTAACTCAATTTGTATGTATGGACTTACACCTAAATAAAGAATTATTATTAATGGTCCGAGTGGCTGGATACCAAGCCTACCCTCCATGTCCTAGTGTAACTTCCAAGTACTATATAGTCGTGCCAGCTTAGTGCTCTCTCTCCTCATAATTACCTTACATTTGAACAAATACAGTAGTAGTATGTATGTACTTTACCTGAATAAACATTCGAAGTTTTTGAATTTTGAATTTGTAGTTCATAACCCACAATCTTATCAGAAATTGTATAAAAAGCAAGTCACCAGCTCTTAGCAAGGAAACTTGAATCAAAACCTCATTGCATTTAAATGTCTGTCTTGAAATGAGAGTACTATAGTTGTATAGAATAACAATAGTTGTATAGTTGTATAATTAGTTGTATAATTTTTGTTATAGTTGTATAGAATAACAACATAGCAAAAATGAACTGTGTTTGTATGTATTCTGTAATCTGTGAAATTAGATATACTGTAATTGACAGCATGCTGAATGTGAGCTTCTAAATAATTGTAAAATTGTGCACCAGTTTAATGTATGGTTTATTTTTAGTATCAAAATGTTTGCAAATGATTAATCATTTGCATATAATAAGCATAGACAAATATATAATATACTATGAATATCCAAAGTATATACTGCAACTTGCGATAACAGAATGCGAGATAAGTGTATGCATAATTGTTCGTATGTGTTAAACTGGTTCATTACTTCATTTGTATTTTCTGTATTGGCAGTTAAGCCAATGATGAAATGAGTCAGTGACTCCACTGATTACTCGTGTATATTCTAATTATGTATTGTTAATAAAAAATCCCTATTTTAAATATAAATTATGAACGAGCCCAGATCCAATGCTGAAACTAATTAATCAATGGTGAGCTATTGAGGGTTAGTCACCACAAGACCCTATGATGGAGTGCAAATGATTTCTCTCTGGTTTGAAAATGCATTCACATCTAAAGATATTCTACAGTAGCACAGTGGTTAATGTCCTCGTCTCAGTCAAGATACATTCCCCAGGCAGGACAAAAGCAGTTGGGCATATTTTGCTTGATGCCTCTGTTCATCTAGCAGTAAATAGGTACCCAGGATTAAGTAACTGTTGCGTGGATTGCCTCTTGGTAAAGATCAGGAGTTGGCCTAGGGGATGCTAGGAGAGCCGGAGCTCCCGGAATGTAAGGGAGCCAGTCGGCCGAGCGGACAGCACGCGGGACTTGTGATCCTGTGGTCCTGGGTTCAATCCCAGGTGCCGGCGAGAAACAATGGGCAGAGTTTCTTTCACCCTATGCTCCTGTTACCTAGCAGTAAATAGGTACCTGGGTGTTAGTCAGCTGTCACGGGCTGCTTCCTGGGGGTGGAGGCCTGGTCGAGGACCGGGCCGCGGGGACACTAAAAGCCCCGAAATCATCTCAAGATAACCTCAAGATAAGACATGGACATGCTTGATAAGCCTAATTACAGGATTCGTGGCTCCGACAATGGGAATTATTATTGTAAAGGAGGGCTAGAACGCTCATTTTCCTATCATTATGGAAAAAAAAAGAGCTCATCTTACAAACTTCAAGAATAGTGCAGTACACACAAAAATCACAATAGCATGATACTGTACATCAAATGAACATTGACGCAGGCACAGTGAACTAAGGCGCGTCTGGGATCATCCCAGACATAGGTTCGAACCCTCATCACGGCCCTTGTGGATTTGCTAATAGTGCAGTACTGTAATTGAGGCATTTACTAACATATCTAGATAAGCATCATGGCAGCTAATATTGCATTAAGTGTGTTAATTCATTTTTTCTCTACACACTCCCCCTCTGTTCTGTCGAGGAATAATAAAAATGTAATCTTTCTAAAGTAGTGCCTCTTTCCCCTAAAGGCAAACTCAGACTTGTATGCATTCCTGCCTTTGAGGGACCTATCATGACATTCAGCTCAGTGCAATAGTAAACAGTGCAAACTTTGTTAGTGGGAACTAGAATCAATCTTAATTTCTTCCTTAACTGATCTACATTATTTCATATTACAGTAATCTGAAGCTTAAGCCTATATTTTAATCAGGATAATAAATGAACACCCACCCTACGTAGCAAGAAGAACTGTCCTGAGTATGGAGTGAGAATAGTAATCTCTCTTGGTGAGTAGCCCTGCAAAACCAGATGTCGGCACAGTCCTATGATAAATTCTGCTTCAAATTGATTTTCATGGCTGTTGTTGTCATCAGAGTCCTAGGATAAACGAGAACTTTATAAAATATCATCATCATGTAATTAAGTAGTGCACAATCATATGCAGAAATTATTTCAAGCACATTGTCAAATAAAGTAATTAAACATTCAATAATCAAACAGAATATAAATATGCACATCTAAAAATTACCATAAGACACATTTTACTAAAGATAAATCAGCAAATAGAATGATAATGTTTCCAATCTTAGACAGCATGCTACACCCTTATTTAAATCCTTAATTTGTCGGATATAATTTTTTATTTATTTATATATACAAGAGCTTTTACAGTCTTGCAAAGCGCTCCCCCAAAGTTGTCTTGCTAAAAGTTAATGTTATATTTTAATACTTGATATAAACAAATGCAATTCGTGCTCGTTAAAGGTTCAAAATAATAAAACAATAGACTTTATGCGTACCTCTCGCTCCGGGATATCATGAGAAATGAAGAAAACATTCTTAGACATGCCTGTGATACTTGGATAGTCATTGACTGAAGGATGATCTTTTAGATTTGGATATATGGATGGTACAAGTAGTTTTGAGATGCTGGGCCTCATACGATGCTGATATTCAAGTGTCTCGTACCTAAAATAAGAGAATCGATTTTCAAACACTGGTAAAGGGAAATCCTGCTTGAAAAACTTGCTGAAGTTCTATAAGAAGATGCAGAAATCAAACGAGAGAGAGCGAAGGATGGGCTGACAGAATATTCCTCGACTGTCAGAAAGCATTTGATACGGTCCTACATAAGACTCCTACTCAAACTAGAGAAGCAGGCTGGAGTATTATGAAGAATCTTAAGGTGGGTCAGAGAACATCTCTCAGGAAGGAAGCCAAGGGTTACAGTGAGAGCAGAAACATCAGAGTGAAGAGAAGTTACAAGTGGAGTACCATAAGGGTCAGTTCTAGGGCCCATACTATTTCTGATAAATGTCAACAACCTGACAGGAAATTGGCTCCTTCATATCAATGTTTGCAGATGGTGCAAAACTAATGAGAGTGAGTCAGGACAGAGATTGTGATGCATTGCAAATGGATTTGGACATACTCCAGAAGTGGTCTGAAAAATGGCTGCTAGAGTTTAACTCAACCAAATGCAAAGTTATTAGGATTGGAGAATTCTCATAACAGAAATGCAGAACTATAGAATGAGGGGAAGATAGATTCTTCAACCAGAAAAGGATAAAGACCTTGGAGTGGACATAACTCCAAATTTACTGCCAGAAGCCAACATTTATTTATTTATTTATTTATATATATACAAGAAGGTACATTGGGTTTGTGAGAATACATTGGGTAGTACAGTATTTACATTCTTGTAAAGCCACTAGTACGCACAGCGTTTCGGGCAGAATAACAGCTGCAAATGGCATACTGGCCAACATCTCTGTATCCTTCACAAATCATGAATGTAAAAATGCCAATTTTATGTAATCTCACCAACCCATTGTACCTTGTGAATATATTATTATTATAGCGAGTAGATTATCCCAATAATATACTCGCTCCAAATGCATTGTTAATATTCCTGTCAACCTTTGGAGATGAATGAGGTGAGGCGTTGCCCGGGCAACACGGTGAGGTGTTGCCCGAGCATATAAGCAGCAGAATGGCAAACATTAACTAGTCTACTTTCAAGTGTGGTCTAGAGCAGACACTTGCGAGATACTGTACCGACGCTCAGTGCGCTCAACTCACACCAAAGTATCACCTGTATACTTCTGTATATTCGACCAAATATATATATAGTATCTTAGTGTCTGTGTTTATTTGTCACCATACTTTACGTAACAATAGAACCGTTACATTATTATTATTATTTGGAGAAAGGGGCTTTCCAGGCCCTATATACAGCGAAGGTGCGATCCCACACTTGAATATGCATCACCAGCATGGAATTCTTACCTGAAAAAGGACAAGGAGAAACTAAAAAAGGTCCAAAAACAAGCAACAAAACTCATTCTTGAGTTTAAGGGCTTAAACTATGAGGAAAGACTGAGGGAACTGAACTTTTCCATATTGGAGGAAAGGAGATAGAGGGGGGATATGATACCATATAAAATTTTAAGGAAAACTGATAAAAAGTAGACAAAGCAGGATTGATTAAAGCTAGGAACAGCAGAATGAGGGGTCATAGATGGAAACTAGAGAAGCAAATGAGCCACAGGGTCATCAGAAAGAACTTTTTCAGTCCTATAGATGTCAATAAGTGGAACAGGTTAGACATAGGAGTTGTTGAAGCTAACTTGATTCAAAGTTATAAATGGAAATATGATAAGTGTGAGAAATGAATCATTGCATTAACCTATGAATGTTCGGAAGGCGAGACTAGGAGCCTAGCTCGACTCTGCAAGTACATTTAGGTGCTTAAACAGGTGTAAGCACTAGGTGCTACACAGCCTACTATAACTAGATAAGGTTCAGATAACGCGGTCGACTTGTAACCGATTGGAGCAGAGTTTGATTACCCTGACCTGGTGAGACAATTGGCCATAATTCCTTGAATGTGATGATTCTGTTCACCTTGCAATAAACAGGTAGCCAGGAGACTATGGGTTCTTAGTACAATGGGCTTCATTCTCGACTCACAATTGGGGATCCTGTGTTAAGATTCCTGGGCAGAACAGAAATTATTGGCCACATTTCCTTTTGCCTAATTTCACTGTTCACTTAGTAGTAAATGGGTACCAGAGAGTTAGGAAACTAAATGCTAAATACAAAATAAATTACAGGTATTTAAAATAGTTAAGCTAACAAGAAGAAAAAAAAGCTGAACCTAAATACAGTATTTTAACATTTAATAAATATTTTGCTCAGTGAAAACTGCAGTCTGCTCAAACATTAGCATATTTGATGATGAGACCCCACACTAGAAGGTGAAGGGACAACGACGTTTCGGTCCGTCCTGGATCATTTTCAAGTTGATTGTGAATGGTCCAGGACGGACCGAAACGTCGTCGTACCTTCACCTTCTAGTGTGTGGTCTCCTCAACATACTTTAGCCACGTTCATTGTGACTCATTGCCTGCAAACATTAGCATATTTACATGAATTTATTCATAGATGGATTATAGAAGATTGTGTATTATTTTATTTAAAACTTATTATTTTACACTTTGTGTATACTTTGCCTACACAAGTTTTTTGATGTTAACAAAATTCTTGTCCATTGAACAGGCTGCTATTTTCCCATAAGTTTACAATATTGTGCGTGATTCTAACTGTTATCAGGAGTGTAGCAGCTACAATACCATACTGTACATTATACATGAATAGGCCTATACATTTTGTTTCTATATCTGGCACAAATAAAACAAATGCTGTGCAGCATCGGAATACTTACGCTAAGCCATTCTTGATCATGCGTTCAAATAGGGATGTTTCAAGACCATACTTGGTGGCCAGTTCGTACACCGTTGCACTTGGACGCAATTGCTGATGATCTCCTGTTGCAGTGAATATCAGTACATTGTTAGCTTAACATTACAGATAAATTTTAATTTCTCTTGCATTTCTAATGACACTATTTGCCAGCATATAACTCTGCGAATTTACAATGATATTTTATTGGAGAAAACTAATTTAGAAGGATATTTTGTTGCAAAATTGAAATTTACAACGATATTTTGTTGAAAAAGCCTAATATTCATCATACATTTATTAAACATGATTTTCAAGTGAAGTCTGTATAAACAACTGGGCACCTACCCTTCAGACTGAACTATACCCCAAAATTATGTAAAGGAACAGGTCGTCAGACTTTTTCATGCCCCAAACTCAATCTTTTTATGACCAAATTCATATGAAATATCTTGGGAACCTGTTCCAATTCATATATTAGGCATACTAAATTGTGGCATGACCTTCCAAATGAGATTAAAAGCTGTACTTATCTTAACGAGTTTAAAAGAGAAACTAAGAAATATCTTACATATAAGAAATTTCAGTTTTAGTCTTTAGTGTTTTTCCTGCCCGAAACGCTTTGCGTAATACTGTAGTGGCTTTAGGCATTGTATGTACTAGCTCTATTTATAAATTCACCAATATTTATCACCTTGTATGTATGTACTTTACCTGAACAAACATTTGAATTTGAGTTACATTTCCTTGTACAAAATAAATAATTTTTTGTTTTGCTCTTATTGTAAATACTAAATCTTATATCTGTACAGTTGCTAAAACTATCAATTCTATCATAAAGTGGTCTATGCCTTTTATCACTAAGCATCACTTAAGTATTGCACATCATTTATAAACTTTTTAAAAAATGTATGTGTGCTAGCTTATTTTTCAATTCGTATTATGTGTTTACTCCATTAATCCTACAGAAAATTAAACTGAATTATTTGAATTACTGCCTGAAATGCTTTGCATATTAGCTACTTTATTAATATGCATTTACATAAATAACTACAGATTTAACCATCATATCAGCGATTTTCAACCACTGTGCCAAGGGACATTAAGTTTGCGCAAAACATCTATAGGTGTACCATGGGATTTTTTGGAGAGGGTCAATTTCCCCTCAAACAATAGGACACTATTCTCAATACGATTACAATATTTGACACTCGTGTAAATGATTTTTTTTATATATATATATATATTTTTAATGCATATTCAGTTATATCTCTTTTACATGGATTATTAAGTTTATTTATATATTTATATATATATATATATATATATATATATATATATATATATATATATATATATATATATATATATATATATATATATATATATATATATATATATATATTTTATTAAATATGACCGAAAAAGTAAGATTAATAATTCTAACACGAATTTTCTCAATCTTTCGTACATTATGCTTCACTGTTGGAGGTAAATCAAAAATCACTTCTCCAAAATTCATTTTTATTTCTAGTCTGACGCGACACGGGCGCGTTTCGTAAAACTTATTACATTTTCAAAGACTTCACAAATACACAACTGATTAGAACTTGCGTTTCCCTGATTTTATATCTACATTTGAGTGAGGTGGGAAGGGTGATGTGGCATTACATTTGAGTGAGGTGGGAAGGATGATGTGGCATTAGAGGATATTAATAGGGTATTAAAAGTATCAACACAAGACAGAACACGAAACAATGGATATTGAATAGAAGTGTTTGTAGAAAGCCTATTGGTCCATATTTCTTGATGCTTCTATATTGGAGCGGAGTCTTGAGGTGGGTAGAATATAGTTGTGCAATAATTGGCTGTTGATTGCTGGTGTTGACTTCTTGATGTGTAGTGCCTCGCAAACGTCAAGCCGCCTGCTATCGCTGTACCTATCGATGATTTCTGTGTTGTTTACTAGGATTTCTCTGGCGATGGTTTGGTTATGGGAAGAGATTATATGTTCCTTAATGGAGCCCTGTTGTTTATGCATCGTTAAACGCCTAGAAAGAGATGTTGTTGTCTTGCCTATATACTGGGTTTTTTGGAGCTTACAGTCCCCAAGTGGGCATTTGAAGGCATAGACGACGTTAGTCTCTTTTAAAGCGTTCTGTTTCGTGTCTGGAGAGTTTCTCATGAGTAGGCTGGCCGTTTTTCTGGTTTTATAGTAAATCGTCAGTTGTATCCTCTGATTTTTGTCTGTAGGGATAACGTTTCTATTAACAATATCTTTCAGGACCCTTTCCTCTGTTTTATGAGCTGTGGAAAAGAAGTTCCTGTAAAATAGTCTAATAGGGGGTATAGGTGTTGTGTTAGTTGTCTCTTCGGAGGTTGCATGGCTTTTCACTTTCCTTCTTATGATGTCTTCGATGAAACCATTGGAGAAACCGTTATTGACTAGAACCTGCCTTACCCTACAGAGTTCTTCGTCGACTTGCTTCCATTCTGAGCTGTGGCTGAGAGCACGGTCGACGTATGCGTTAACAACACTCCTCTTGTACCTGTCAGGGCAGTCGCTGTTGGCATTTAGGCACATTCCTATGTTTGTTTCCTTTGTGTAGACTGCAGTGTGGAAACCTCCGCCCTTTTCCATGACTGTTACATCTAGAAAAGGCAGCTTCCCATCCTTTTCCGTCTCGTAAGTGAAACGCAGCACGGAACTCTGCTCAAATGCCTCCTTCAGCTCCTGCAGATGTCTGACATCAGGTACCTGTGTAAAAATGTCGTCAACATACCTGCAGTATATGGCCGGTTTCAAGTTCATGTCGACTAAGACTTTTTGCTCGATGGTACCCATGTAGAAGTTTGCAAACAGGACACCTAGGGGAGAACCCATAGCGACCCCATCTACTTGCTTATACATGTGCCCATCCGGGCTCAAGAAGGGTGCCTCTTTAGTACAAGCTTGGAGTAGTTTCCTCAGAATACTTTCTGGCATGTCAAGAGGAGTACAGGCTGGATCACGATACACTCTGTCGGCTATCATTCCGATTGTCTCGTCCACAGGTACGTTGGTAAACAGCGATTCTACGTCCAACGAGGCTCTTATCCCTGTGGCCCGTGCGCCCCGCAGTAAGTCCACAAATTCCTTTGGAGACTTCAGGCTGAAGGCGCAAGGAACATAAGGAGTCAGCAGGCCGTTGAGTCGCTTCGCCAATCTGTACGTGGGTGTGGGTATCTGGCTAATGATTGGCCGAAGTGGGTTTCCAGGCTTGTGCGTCTTGACATTTCCATACGCATATCCAGGTTTATATTCCCCAATGATCTTTGGCAGGTGGAGTCCGGATTTCTTGGCGTTCACAGTTTCGATCAGTTTGTTGACCTTTGCTTTTAATTCGGCTGTAGTGTCCTTCGTTACCCTTTGGAACTTAGTTTGGTCAGAGAGTATGATGTTCATTTTCGCCAGATATTCGTCTTTTTTAAGAATGACATATATTGGCGACTTGTCACCTCTCCTGACAACTATCTCCTTGTTCTCACGAAGGCTTTTAGCTGCCGCTCTAAGCTCGGGGGACAGTATGGTGCTTCTGTAGTTGCCTCGATTCTTTCCTCCTTCTGCAATAAGTTCTGCTTGTAAGGTATCTTTGGTAGTGACCTTCTTTTGTGTCTCGAGGTCGAATATGTCGTCCAACAGAATTTCCAACTCCACTTTCCGGGCCATTTCACTCGGTCTGGACATAACATGACAGTTTATGCCCAGATTTAGGAGAGTGACTTGGTCCTCAGTGAGGTTAATTCCTGCAAGGTTCAGGAAGCCATCTCTTGGTCGTGGAATTGCCATAGGTCCTCCATATAATGTTGTTAGTTTCTTGATAATCCTTGTTTCAGTGCTGAGGTGATGTTGGTCTGTGAGGATGTCGAGGTGTTGTTCAATGCGGGTACGGATACTATGGTCGATGTTGCTATTTCTCCACTCGTTTGTAGCATGAAGTAGTTGCGTTTTTTTGTCTTTGATTTCATTCTCTGCCTTGTATATCTGATCACGAATCAGATCCTGGCGATATTTTATCGTGAAGGCTTGATTCCTTGCTGCTGGGTCGTGCACTTTAACATTAGTATATTTTGGTAGCAGTCTTTCCTGTAGACATATTTTATTAAATATGACCGAAAAAGTAAGATTAATAATTCTAACACGAATTTTCTCAATCTTTCGTACATTATGCTTCACTGTTGGAGGTAAATCAAAAATCACTTCTCCAAAATTCATTTTTATTTCTAGTCTGACGCGACACGGGCGCGTTTCGTAAAACTTATTACATTTTCAAAGACTTCACAAATACACAACTGATTAGAACTTGCGTTTCCCTGATTTTATATCTACATTTGAGTGAGGTGGGAAGGGTGATGTGGCATTACATTTGAGTGAGGTGGGAAGGATGATGTGGTCATATTTAATAAAATATGTCTACAGGAAAGACTGCTACCAAAATATACTAATATATATATATATATATAAAAGAAGGTTTGTGAGAATACATAACATTGGTGTGTTTACATTCTTACAAAGCCGCTAACATGCATACCATTTCGGGAAGATTATTACAACTGATAGATTGCCTTGACCATTTTAGTGCCTAATTCACTGTGTCGAGAGATGAAGGCGGTTGAAAATCACTGGAATATATCATGGTTCTTTTGTACATTCTTTTAAATCAAATTATTCTAATTATGTTAATAGTTTTTGGAAATGCCTTGTAACAAATGTTAAAATATATACAGTATTACTGTATCATATGCAAAATAATAATAATATTTATGCAAGAATATACATAAATAATGCATGAAGAGTGATGGATTCATAGGCAAGAAAAGTGCAATGTCTTGAAGCCACTAATACACACAGCATTTTGGGCATATTAAAAAAAAAATATGAATGCATGTATAAAGGTTTCTGGAATGGTAAGAAGCGCAATGCTAAACAAATCTTACCTATCATTATGAGGTGTTGGCATTTGGCAGTAAGAGAAGTAATGACGTGGGATTCCAGAATTTCGGCAGCTTCCTCTATGATAACTGTGATGGTACAAATAATGTAGCAAGTATTATGGTTATGTAATTATTATTATTACAAGAAAACATAAAACAAATTCAGTACAGTAGTGTGGTTCGTTCTCGACTCACAATTTGAAATCCTGGGTTTGAATCCCAGCCAGGGCAGAAATTGTTGGTACCCCCCCATGAGTGAGTTAACTGTTGTGGGGTTGCATCCTAGGATATGTCTATACAATAGTTTGACCTTCAGGGTGGACCTCAATATAAGGCTGACATGTACATATATAATTATACTCAGGCTACCTGTCCCCAAAATTATTAATTATTATAAAATTTCATAATCAGTGGTTCCCCCTGGATACAACTTTAGGGATAGACAAACACTTTCCCATTATTTATTTACACTGAGAATACAGTACCTTCATTTTATTTCTCATTTAAATTTCTCATTTATAGGTCTCACTTATTTATATTTAAATTTAGGTAAATTCTCCTATAATTCAACTAGGCAAAGAACATTTTAACAAGAAGACCAAATAATGGCTATTTTTTTATTTTTTTAAATTTATATTACTATTCTTAAAATTTATTCCAATTGCCTACCATTCCAAAGCTTTAACAGACTATTTGTTAACTTGTAAACCAAATATATAATTATATCATCCACTTCATAAATTTTTTGGTAAGATTTTCTTGTGCCTCTTATATATACTGCAACAACATTAATATAATACCATACCTAAAGATAATGACTAATATATCACAATAAATAAAAGCAAAAGTTTGTGTTTAAAGATTAGGTCTTGGCAAAATTCATATACAATTTATATGATTCACTATCCTATTACTGTATTGACCTGTAGAAACAACTGTGTACAGTACCTGTACTGTACATCTCAAAGTTCTCTGCTGTAGGACTAATCTGCAGCCTATTCTTAATAATTAGAGTGCGCAATAGAGCACTCGAGGTGAAACAAAATTAGCAATGATCGAAACCTTTGAATCCAAATTGCTATCGGTATCAGATCAGAAAAAAAAATCTAAGATAAATGAGTATGAAACTACAACTTGAGTGATTTAAGATATCTTATGACTTAAACCCAAGATATTTAACATTTAAATACATTTCATAAATAGGACTTTAGATAGAATTGGAAATTGCTTTAAAAAATAAAAAAGCACAGTTGTTAAGAGTTTCAAAAATTTTCCAGAGCGTACTGAAAAACTATTCTTTCTGAACTTTAAATGACATTGAATACTTGCAGGCAATGAGTCACAATAACGTGGCTAAAGTATGATGACCAGACCACACATTAGAATGTGAAGGGACGACGACGTTTCGGTCCGTCCTGGACCATTCTCAAGTCGACAATCGACTTGAGGATGGTCCAAGACGGACTGAAACATCGTCGTCCCTTCACATTCTAATGTGTGGTCTGGTCATCACACTGAATACTTGCTTGACAAAAGGTATTTGTACACACATCACAAACCTTACTTACCAATGGCTGGGGCCAAGTCTTTCATAATGTCATTGTACTGTGCTGCTGCTGTAGTCGTCATGCCTACAACGGAAGCATGACGCATGGCGTACAAATACTTCTGGTTGCGTGTCTCACGCAGGGCTTCCGACACCTTTTGGTAACTTGCTTCTAGAAAATTAATTTCACTATTTCTTATGTCTAAGAGCTTCCCAACCCAGTAATTATATAGCTTCCACCTCATTGGAAAGGTTAGACTCCAGATATTAAGCTGTGATTCCATTTCTAATTGGCTTAATTCTTCAAAGTTTCCAGTTAAAGAGAGACCGATATTTAATGCTTCTAGCTGACCAGCGAGTATAGTATATTTAAAGTAAGCTTCAGAATTTGTTACATCTTCATTATAAATTGCTAATACAGTTTGCAACTTTAGAGCAAGCATATCTACTGTTACCTCATTTCTTAGAATAGTGTTTGGTATAAATTTATTATCAATATATAAACCCAAAATTTTCTCAGGTTTTGAAGCCTTCGTTTCAAAATCTGGCAACAGTCTGTTTTGCTCTTCAAGTTCACGTAACTCCTGTGTGGCTTCCCAATCTTTATCTTCAGTTAATTCATCCTCACAGTTTTCTTCATCTTCCTGTTTCAAAGACGTAGTTTCTTTGGGGGTCTGTACCAACTGGAGCTGCTGAACTTGATTTTCAACATGTGCTTGTTCAATATTAAAGAGTAGCCAATCTGCTAACTTCTTATCACCTAATATTAATTGGCATCTTAAATGTGAAGGTATAATATCTTCAGACAAAAGCAAGTCAAGAGAGATTATTCCTTTAGCTGCTTTGCTAATAATATTAGCTTTGTTGTGTTGACTCCTCATGATTTTATCTTCTAATTTATTTAGCTCCATCAATAATTCCCTATTTCGCTCATGAATGGAGTTTGGAATGCCAGAGTTTTCGTGAAGAATGCTCAATAGTGAATTAATCTGAAACTGTTCTATAGTTGTACTCTTTGATCTAGAACCAATTCTTACTATATTCCTTGTGTAGGTACTCATGCCTTCCAAAAACTGATCTAATGCATGATTGGTGAAACACACAACTAATATTGGTGTAGGATTTTCTTTATTTTTCCAAACATTACTATTGTGCAACAGGATTTGTGCAATTTTGAGACCTATAAAGGTCTTTCCTGTACCAGGAGGACCGTGGATGATTGCTAGTTGCCGTGTAAGGGCACTCTGCAGAGCTCTTTGCTGAGAACTGTCAAGTCCTAAATCAATCTCCGATGGCCATGATGTGAGGTTATCCTTAACGGGCACCTCCTTAAGGTTACTATATTGAGTATCATCAGGTTCCTCAAAGTCTATGTCAAAGTCAAAAAGTGTGTTGTATGCTTCCGATTTTTTCATCATCTTTGAGTTTTTAATAACTCTTAAGTCATACATTTCTACCTCATTTAAATATTCTGGAGGCTTAACATCAGGATCAACATTAACAATATATGTGTCCAGAGGGAATGCATTTCCTGACATGTTTTTCAGAGCCATTAAAACATGTTTATATGGCATAAAATAAGCCTTTGACTCAACCATCAGGAATTTTGTGGACAAGTCAAAATTCTCAATATCTGACTCAAACTGAACCCCAATAATTCCATCTCTTAGCTCTTCTGGATCCCTCACAGATATACAGGCAAGGAGTAGGGTTTTGAAATCATCATTGCTGAAACACACAAGATTGCCATACAATAAACGCTTAGAGTTCTCCATTTTAGCTCTCTTTGGCATATTCAACTGGACATTATGAATGATATCATAATTTTTTATCTGAGACCCTACAACACAAACATCTTTGTAAATTCTTACATCCCGAATTTTAGATTGCTTCCCACTCATGTAATCTTGAATTCCATTCCTCAAAGGCCTGACAAAATCTTCACGTAGGAGTCTGAATTGCACATCCAAATAATGCTCGACATCATTATACTTCCCCTTCACTATGTTTCTGCGAAGAAAGGGACGCTCAATTGTCAATAAATCCCACGGTGTTGGTAATACTGGATATTCCCGAAAGTCGTCAGGAGGTTCTGCACGGTCCATATCATACTTTCGTAATCTTTTATTCTGACCCCCAGCCAGCTGCTCTTGCCTCCACTGTTTGGATGCTTTTGTTAGCATTTCTTGCAGAGCTTCATATTGCTTGACAAGTTTCTCTTTAATGAGACCCTCATCCTTTAAAGGTGTCAATAGCATAATGCAGGCTTCCAACAAATTGGGTAGCCTGTCAATAGCATTGGTTGTCATTGTATTGGCATAAGTTTCCAAAAATGTGTGTAAATCAGAAAACCATTCTTGAGCCTGGTTTAAATATCGTTTCTTAATTGTATATATGAAACTACACAGTTTATCTATGAATTTTTGTTCACATGTTTTGCTGAATAGATCACATAAATTTTGCTTGTTTGACTGAGTAGAGGTTGCATGTGCAAGAACATTTATTAAGAGTGCAAATTCATCATCATTAATAGCAAACTCTTTAAGAAGAAGATGGAAGCCTGATCCATCCCTTAACAGTTCTGTAACCACAACATCAGGTGGTAAATGCAATAGTCTTTCCAGTTCATCTAACCTCATTGGGTACCTTCTCTCTCTTTTGTAACCACTTCTGGCCGAGCCCACTGATCTTCTGTCACCGTTTGTGGACTCCCTCCGGTTACCATACCTCAAATCTCTACTGGTCCGAAAATCATTTTCCCTGCCACTGCCCCTCCAGGAATGGTTATATTGGCCTACTTCATCATTTCTGTGATGTTCAAGGGAGCTGTATCTTCCTTGAACATAGCGACCTCCATAGGGTCTGGAACTTGATTCAACTCCTGATGTGTCCATTATACCACAACCTGAAAATGAATAATTATCATACAGTATATTTTTATACAATTTTCAGAGTTGCATCAACAGTAATTAAAAAAATAGGTGCCACTTATGCACATTCCTACCTTGTGCTTCAAACTTGCACTGTATTTTTTACTACCCAGTTCCCAAATATTAGTGCTTAAAGGCATATAATAATAATAATAATAATAATAATAATAATAATAATAATAATAATAATTTTTATTTAGGCAAAGGTACATACATAAAGAGATTTTACAAAGTTTGTTGGCTTTATAGATAGAGCTAGTACATACAATGCCTAAAGCCACTATTACGCAAAGCGTTTCGGGCATATATCTCCCTACCAGTGTAATCACCTCTGTCTATGTATATTGTAGTTAACTGATGATTTAAAACCTTGCTGCAATGTACCTTTTCATCTTGCCTGATGTGTTAGCATTTCGGGCAGGTCCTTAATCTATGCGTGTTAGTAGCTTTGTATGAATGTAAAAATACCAATCTTCATGTAATCTCACCAACCCATTGTAATTCTTGCAAATAAATTATTATTATTATTCTTATACTTAGAAATTCAACCATAAAAATGGTAATCTGCTAAATAGACAGTAGCATTACAGCTCTTCAGTAGTTTGGTATCATAATAATAATAATAAAATAAAAAATATAATAAAATAAGTTTATTTAGGTAAGGTACATACATACAAGAGATTTTACAGAGAATGATGGATTTATAGATAGAGCTAGTACATACAATGCCTAAAACCACTATTACGCAGAGCGTTTCGGGCATGAAAAACTTAAATGACTGAAGCTTAATACTAATCGAGTATAATGAATAAAATGTGATGAGAACAAATAAAAATAGAGATAAAAAAGGGAGGAACATGGCTGAAAAAGCAGCACAAATACAATTAGGTCGACAAACAGCGTTTAAAAAAAAAAAAAAAAAATGAATAATAATAATAAATTATGCCTTATTCAACCACTGCAAACTACCTCAAGCCAATTATCACCCAGCAAAAATCTGCAATCAGAACAATAACAAAAACTCTGTTTTCAGACAACACACAGCTCCTCTGTTTAAATCCCTTAACATGTTAAACAAACTCACTCCACACATTCGCTTGTGCCATTTACATGTACAAAACCCTGTTCCTAAATACAAATCCTGATCTGAAACTCTTCCTTGACAGATGTAATAGAATCACCTCACCTCACTGGGTGAGTGATTATGCCCAAAATGCTATACATGCAAGTGCCTTTACAAAAAGGTAAAATCATCCTTGCTATGAACTCTCTTAACACCCAATGTACCTTTTTGTATATAAATAAATGGGTGATCACTCATTATCACCTCATGAGAAATAAATCTCTCTCTCTGATATTCCTAGAATGAAACTAAATCAGTGCAAACACTCTATGCAAATTGAGACCTAGTCTTTGGAACTCACTCCCTGATGAATTAAAAAGCTGTCCAGCCTATGTCTTATTCTAAGGTAAAAATAAAAAAGTATATAATTTCATTCTCATAAGTTTCCAACCTAGTGCTTTAAACTTGCATTGTATCTTGTGCTGCCTAATTCCCCAATGTATATGCCTAATCCATACAACTTCATTGTAATCACTGCTATCACCTTATGTCATGGTTATGTTGAATGCAAATTTTTCTACAATGTACCTAGAAATAATCCTTAAATTATGCTACAATGTATCTGTTGACAATCCTCAAATTTTACTAAAATGCATCTATTAATTTTCTTCAATTTTTGTACAATGTGCCTGTTAACATTCTTCAGATTTTACTACAAATTACCTACTTAAAATTAACTGTTAGATTAAGGAGCTGCCTGAGAAGCTGTGTGTGTTAGTGGCTTTACAAGAATGTGAAAAAATTAATGCTATGTACTCTCATAAACCCTTGAACCTTGTATGTAAGTAAGTATCTAGGATAAATAAATTATGCTAGAATACACACAAGAATAGTGGAGAATTCGTAGGTAAGAAAAACACAATACATGAAGCCACTAATAAGCAGAGCTTTTAAGGATTAATATTATTAACTACTAGTTAGTCCTTAGCTTGCAATAAACAAAAACATGTAATTCCAAAAGTACGACCTTCACTGCTATACGCAAGTTTTACCAAGCAAGTTATGTAATAATGTATACATTTTGTAATAATACAGTATATGACTTTCAGAACGACACATCTGGGATGTTCCCGGACGCAAGTTCGAATCCTCGTCACGGCCCTTGTAGATTTGTTCTTTCAGAACGAGTTTTGAGCCAAGTGTTGATAGCATTATATAATTTCTTATAAGATGTTTACCCATTTGAAAAATTACAAATTTTCTGATGAGTTGGCCGTCACGTGCTAATTGTGTCAGGAAACAACACTAGGAAATAACAGCAGGACTTGTTTATAATAACTGTTGTCAAGAGCAAGAAACCTGTACCCACTGAAAATGCTTCTGAAACGAAGTCAATCTTGGCTAATTCTGGGCTTCTGTGAATGTAAATATTTAAAAAAAAATTATTAGCCCTAGTTTTCATCCAAGATGAGTTCTAAAGCTGTGTTCCTGCATAATGGGAGTGTTTTGCCATCAAATTCATTAGGTTATACTACCCATATGATGGAAACTTATGACGAACATGAATTAAGCACCTTTTGTGGTGCTTAAACTATGACCAACGTCAGTGGCAGCTCTGTGGCAACTTGAGGGTTGTTGCTCTTGTGATGGGTCTGCAGGGTAGATAAACAAGTAATGCTGTTTTCTTTGCGAGTAGGATAGTCACGTGACAGATTCTCACAATGTCGTGAGAGGCTCTTGGCAACTCCGTCACTGGAACTTGGGTTAAAAAAAAACAAAAAAAAAAAAAAAAAAAAAAACATCCACCAGTGGTACTGTTCATTGTCTACATAAATATCCACCAAGAAGGAATACAGAATTATATGAACATGTTTGCTGATGATGCTAAGATACTAGGGAAGATAAACAAAATTTAGACGATTGTCATGCTCTTCAAGAAGACTATACACTCTCAATAAAATAATCCCAGATTGAAATTTCGGGTAAGACAGAAAATTGATTTTTTTTTTTTTTTTGGCTGATGTTTCCTTTCACCTAATGCCTCTTTTCACAAAGCAGTAAATGGTACCTAGGAAATTGTCGGCTATTGTGGGGTTGCCTCCCTGGGAGGATCAGTTGCTCCACTGCTGGAGGCATACATGCATAGCATCAATTAAAAATATAATTCAATCATAAACTCAGGATATTTTCTATTATATACCCAAAAATTTATACAAATTTGCTATACGTACATTAATTGTATGTTAACAATTCTCAACTTCATTATATGCCTGTCTGTTAGATTAAGGACCTGCACGAAATGCTATGCGTGTTAGTGGCTTTACAAGAAAGTAAAAAAACATCAATGCTATGTACTCTCATAAACCCAATGTACCTTCTTGAATATAAATAAATAATATAAATTTAAATATATATAAATAATATATATATATGACCATAGCCTATATATTAGTTTCATGGTTAGTTTCTCAAAATTAAATTATTTATTATTAAGTTATCAATGTTCCCATGGGTTAATTTCTAATGACCACCCTTCCCTGGATGATATCCAAAATTGGGTCGGTCTAATTACCACAAGCTACACAAAGCTTCCTGGCAATACGTTAGTAATGAATAAATGATATGTTAGGTTAGGCTAACCTGACATGACCTGTCCTAACTTAACCATACCTAACCTAACCGACGCTTGGATCGTCGACTTGATTTGGCGTCACCAGCTTTTTATTTTTGTCTAATTTCTTTATAAAAAGATACTTTTTCAGATTAAAATTATGTTTTTTCGTGTTGCACATTCAGCACCAACATTATAATGAGTAAATATATCACATTTATTCATTACTAACGTATTGCCAGGAAGCTTTGTGTAGCTTGTGGTAATTAGACGGAGCGCCAAAATTGTTGAATAATTACCACGATCTATTTGGCTGCTATGTGATGAGATATCAATTGAATGAGAACGTTGCCTAACTGTTTCCGCCCTGTTCAGGCATGAACCCGGGCCCCTCAAGTGTGTGCCAAGGATGTAGACTACTGTGCTACAAAATTCTTAACTATGATAAGTAGACACTTTTATGAAATACTGTGTTTCATATAATTATATCGGTCCGTCTAATTACCACAAGCTACACAAAGCTTCCTGGCAATACGTTAGTAATGAATAAATGTGATATATTTACTCATTATAATGTTGGTGCTGAATGTACAACACGAAAAAACATAATTTTAATCTGAAAAAGTATCTTTTTATAAAGAAATTAGACAAAAATAAAAAGCTGGTGACGCCAAATCAAGTCGACGATCCAAGCGTCGGTTAGGTTAGGTTAGGTTAGGTTAGGTTTGGTTAGGTTTGGTTAAGTTAGGTTAGGTTAGATTAAGTTAGGTTAGGTCAGCCTAACCTAACATATCATATTTATTCATTACTAACGTATTGCCAGGAAGCTTTCTGAAGCTTGTGTAGCTTGTGGTAATTAGATGGACCCAATTATATTTTGCAATATAACTATATATTAGTGCAATAATTATATATTATGTATATTAGGGATATATTTATACTGACCAAAGATAAATAATTGATATACTCTTTAGGAATTTTGTATTCAGCAATACTCATTTTTGTTAACTTGCTCTTAAGACCGACCAGGATTCGAACACTGGAATCTCCGATTATGAGTCGAGAAAAAACTAGTCATTCATGTTACATATTTAATGAATGTTTTCCCAATTGCTTCAATACATGCACATTATAGTAGTTGAAAGCCTTATCTTACATTATATTATAATGTATAAACAAAATAAATATAATTTATATATAATTATAATGTATAAACAACGTGACAATTGTCTATGAAAAAAAAGGTAGGAGGGTATACAAAACGTTTCAAGTTTTTTGTATAAAAACTCAACGTTGACTAACCATTATGGAAACAAATTATTTTACCATACCATACATTGAGAAGATTAACATGCACAAAATTATATATAAACATATCACAACAAGCACTTAATACATGACAAAAATATCAGATCAACCATTCACGTTGAGCGCTGCAAACGTTTTGTCCCACCCTGTACACACTCGCTCGAACAAGGGGTGTCTTTCTTGATCAATATGACCTCCTAAATTTAATATATACAAGATATTACAGTAATTACCGCCCACTGTTATCAATGAAAGGTCAATTTGGATAGTTTTTGATACATGTAAATGCTTACCCTGCATACATTAGAGAAATACAGCGAGACTAGACGACGACCACCTTCTTGCCAGACCTATAGCCTCCTAAAACTCAATATATACCTGATATTACAGTAATTACCGCCCACTGTTATCAATGAAAGGTCAATTTAGGTAGTTTTTGATACATGTAAATGCTTACCTTGCATACATTAGAGAGAGATACAGCGAGAAGACCTCCGATAACGCACAGTTCAGGCCCCACACTGAGGTCCGGCCGTCTACGGTATGGGGCCGTCTGCGGGGTGCTGAACGCGTCCGGAACGGGGCCGTCGATCGCGCACCCGGAATATACGTAGAATGTAATTATACTCGCTCAATTGGCCTTGGGTGGTTGAGCTTGAGCTCCTTGGTCCCGGCTCTGTCTTCGTCGATTTGTATAGGTGAGTATTATTAATAATACTTAATACACACACACACACACACACTATATATATATATATATATATATATATATATATATATATATATATATATATATATATATATATATATATATATATATATATGTGAAGAAATATGAATTAGTTTTCACACATTATATTGATTATGCATTTCTTTCCAAATTAGTTGAAACTAGAATACAACTTTTATTCATATGACGTATTATCTATAGATACTCCTGGTATATATATACTCATTACATTGGAATTTGTGAAAGATATATATATACCTCCCAACACTCACATACGTAGATACTCGCCCGTCACTGGCGGTAAGTCAATACCAGAAATATACTGTATGTATTTCCCCCTCTACCGTATTTCAAAGTTGTATTTTCTCATAAACTAATGCATTCTAGAGAAAAAAAATTTGATTTATAGGGGAAGGAAAACAAAAATTCCGGAGTTATTATCTATATATTTATATACAGTATAACCTTCCCCGGCAACTGTGCAGCGCTGCCAGGCGCCGTCATCATCCCCAGAGACAGTGTTGCCACATTTCACGAGATGAATAGAACTTCGTATGTCGTACTTGCATATTTTTTTTAACGTACTCTGTTATGAATTGTATATTTTAGCGATTTAACTGATGTTGAAGAACTATATATATTACTATTATTTATTAAACAGGTGGGAAATGGAATTGATTAGAATATACAGCAACAGGGCAAAACACACACATACACACACACACACACACACACACACACACACACACACACACACACACACACACACACACACACACACACACACAAAATGGAATGCATTAGGCAGTGATGTGGTGGAGGCTGACTCCATACACAGTTTCAAGTGTAAATATGACAGCCCAATAGGCTCAGGAACCTGTACACCTGTTGATTGACGGTTGAGAGGCGGGACCGAAGAGTCAGAGCTCAACCCCCGCAAGAACAACTAGGTGAGTACACACACACCTGATACTACACATCACTATATATTCGTGTCCAGAACCTGTAGCATTGAGTTAAATATTTGCTTCTCACACAAACGTGTTAAGCGACTGTTCTGGGCCACTTCTTGAACCACTTGAGATAAAAATAATTAACGTGAACCCGGAAGGTGTTGTTGGCCACATATTTAACATTCACAGGTTTTTGAAGAGTTAATATCATCATATTTTATTGTGGTAGTGGACCCCATGTCCATCCTGTGGGTGGTAATGGGCCTCATACCCATCCTGTGGGTGGTAGTGGACCCCATACCCATCCTGTGGGTGGTAGTGGACCCCATACCCATCCTGTGGGTGGTAGTGGACCCCATACCCATCCTGTGGGTGGTAGTGGACCCCATACCCATCCTGTGGGTGGTAGTGGACCCCATACCCATCCTGTGGGTGGTAGTGGACCCCATACCCATCCTGTGGGTGGTAGTGGACCCCATACCCATCCTGTGGGTGGTAGTGGACCCCATACCCATCCTGTGGGTGGTAGTGGACCCCCATACCCATCCTGTGGGTGGTAGTGGTCCCCATACCCATCCTGTGGGCTGTAGAGGAAAAGGTTAAAGACACACAATGGGCTCAAGAACTGATCCCCAACATTTATTTATATACAAGAAAGTACAATCTATTATGTACCTGTTAAAATTTTTCAATTTTCCTAGAAATTACCTGCTTAAAATTATATGTTAGATTAAGGACCTGCCCGAAACGCTATGCATATTAGTGGCTTTACAAGAATGTAAAAACATCAATGCTATGTATTCTCATAACCCAATGGGCCTTCTTTTATATAAATAAATAAATAAATGGTTAAACATATTTGGCCCTGGCCGTCTGTGGATGGGTGACCGAGAGGGATATCTTTTCCTTGGCTTGGATGACTTAGATAAACCTACTAAGCTTCTCGTTCCCAATAGTTACAGCCTTACAAGTTGACTCGACAAGGTAGCAGCCATTTGCAGCCTGCAATGAAATGGAATAAATTACGATTTGATATACCTATCTGAAAATTTATATGCCTAACTGAAAATTACTCAAGTCTTACCTGCTACGTTCTCTGTTAAGAAACGTAGTTTAAAGAAAACGTTATTATAGGTAACTCTTTTATTTTAATATTTTTACTGATAGATGTTGCCAGTTTCTGTACCATTGAACAGTTGTTGTATCGAGTGAGTCGACCTATAAGAACAGAGTGAAATGCTAGTAATTGCTAGTAATCAGACGCTTTATAAAACATACTTATACTGGAGCTACTAAATAACGGCCGTAAACATATTTTGAATTTATAAAATGTTAAAATTATCATCCGAGTGCAATATTTTAAACGAATCTTTCTGGGTAAAATTTGGTATTATGAATGAATTAAGGAAAGTTAATGAAACAACGTGAACATAGAGTAACTCTGCTGGGTTGTGAAATACAGCTGGAAAAAGATTATCAGGGCAAATGGGGGGGGGGAGGGGTTATCTTGAGATGATTTCGGGGCTTTAGTGTCCCCGCGGCCCGGTCCTTGACCAGGCCTCCACCCCCAGGAAGCAGCCCGTGACAGCTGACTAACTCCCAGGTACCTATTTACTGCTAGGTAACAGGAGGCATTCAGAGCGAAAGAAACTTTGCCCATTTGTTTCTGCCTGGTGCGGGAATCGAACCCACAGAATTAAGAGTCCTGTGCACTATCCACCAGGCTACCAGGCCCCCCCCCCCTAGGTGAATACACTGCCAGTGCCGTACACAAGCACAGACGGGTTCATTCTCGATTCTTAGTCGGGAGTCCTGGGTTGGAATCCGGGACGAGAGAGAGAGAGAGAGAGTGGTTGGGCACGTTTCCTAATGTTTAATGGATCTGTTCGCCTAGTAGTCAGTAGGTATCCGGGAGTTAGTTAACAGGTGTGAGAGTTTGACATCCTGGGAACTGGTCACTAGTCCCTCTCTTTCCCGCCAAAAACCAAAACCAAAAAAAATGAATATTGTCCAAATATAGTAATATATAAGTATTATAAAATAATTATATATATAATATAAAGCATATTATAAAAGCAAAATATTATAAAAGCATAATTTAATAAAAATATAATATGAAAATATATTACAAAAATATTATAAAAACATAATATATTTCACACGGGAGACATCTCTCGTCACGCAGGGTGCAGTCGCACCTCCACAGATCTCCAGTATCATCTATTAATACTGGTAATGGCTCAAAAGGGCCACCTCCTACGGGCTATTCATGCCCGTGCCACCTTTTGAGTGGCTTAATCTTCATCAATCAATCAACCAATAATAATATATAAGGCACTACGGGCTCACCATACCCCGTGTTACTTGGAACTTTGTTCCAGGAAGCGAATCTTTAACAACATAATAATATATAAATATTGCATATTATATAAGTGTAATACAATAAAAATATAATATAAAAGTATAATAAAAATTGCAATATATATAAATTTTATATATTGTGGAAATTAGATACACATACCTAACTGTGTAGTTATGCAAGCTATTCAGTAATGTTAAGTAAATAACTTTCATGCAAAATCTACAGCTCTGTTCAGCACAACTGGGTTTGGTCGGCTCTGGATTGGTGACAGACTAACTCGGCCTCACCCTAAATGAACAATCCTATGCTTATCATGCACACTCATAGGCCTAATTTAGTGACTATACAAGGCCTAAAAAAAGGTATGTTTGATTAACTTTTTTTGTGCGGGCGTTCTGGGGAGGGGGGGGGGGGGGAAAGGATGTTGTTGTTAAAGATTCGCTACCTGGAACAAAAAGTTCCAAGTAGCACGGGCTATGGTGAGCCCGTAACTTGAAAGGAACAGTTTATGTTGTGTACTTCCAAATATGTACTAACTATAGATAGTATTTATTTTTAGATAACGGCTTGTCATAAACAGAGCGGAGGGTGGATTAATGAGAGTGAGCGAGCGATCAATCGCTGGATTGAGCGATCATTATTTCAATCTGGAAAACGAGACACAACCCCCCTCTCCCCCCAAAAAAAATGTGTACACTATAATTAATAATATCCATCTTGAGGTTATCTTGAGATGATTTCGGGGCTTTAGTGTCCTCGCGGCCCGGTCCTCGACCAGGCCTCCACCCCCAGGAAGCAGCCCGTGACAGCTGACTAACACCCAGGTACCTATTTTACTGCTAGGTAACAGGGGCATAGGGTGAAAGAAACTCTGCCCATTGTTTCTCGCTGGCGCCTGGGATCGAACCCGATACCACAGGATCACAAGTCCAGCGTGCTGTCCGCTCGGCCGACTAGCTTCATAAAGAATAATAATTTCAATAACGAGAATAACAATATATTTGATGATGCCAATACCAACATTAACACTAATTTACCGAGGAAGATCTATCCAAACTCCTAACACGCATAAATCACAATAGCGTGATGCATCACTGAACAAATCCACAAGGGCCGTGACGAGGATTGGAACCTACGTCCGAGAGCATCCCAGACGCTGCCTTAATCGACTGAGCTACGACATGGTCAAAAAAAAAGTTGATCCAAACTCCACCTGCCTCTTGGTCGGGTCGACGCCAGGGCCAATCAGCCGTGATAGATGAGATGTTTGTGGCCGCCTCAGAGATCGTCAGCGTCGCACGGCCGCCGTGGCTCAAGGGGGTAATTTGGCATCACGTCAGCCTCTTCCCGGGTTCGAGTTTGTCAAGGAGCAGCCGTGATGACACTGGTATTGATGGATGATGATTGTTAGATGATCACGGGCTGACGGATTGTGATGAGCAGGTGGGATAATATAGGATTACAGGTCGGGATTGGAAGTGGTTAGTATGTCGGTCTGTAGTTGTGGTGGCAATATTCTCTTTGATTCCTCACTACGTACTAAATACAGAGTACTAACCT